ATGGGAGGCACTGAGTTTGATCCCCAGCACCACATAAGAAAACTAAATAAAAACAAAATAAAGGTATTGTGAACATCTGCAACTAAAATGTTAAAAAAAAAAGTTCTTTGTGTAATTTGGATAGAAATCTCATATTAGATAATGATTTATTACTATTTTCTTCCATTCTGTGGGTTGTCTTTTTCACTCCCCCCCCCCCCCCCCCCCCCCGCCCAAGTGCTGGGGATTGAACCTAGGCCTTGCACATGCTAGGCAAGCATTCTACCACCAAGCTACATACCCAGCCCTCCTTTTACTTTCTTTATGATGTTCCTTAAAGCACAGAAATTTTTAATTTTGATAAAGTTCAATGTATCTATTTTTTCCTTTGGTTGTATTTGCATTTGGTATTATAAAATAAACCTTTTACTATACTAAAGTCAGGAAGTTTTATACTTACTTTTTTTTAAAGAGTTTAATAGTTTTAGCTCTTTAGGTGTTTGATCTATTATGAGGTAATTTTTGTATATGGTGTGATATGGGGACTCCATTTTCATTATTTTGCATGGATGTCCAGTTGTCCCAGGGACCATTTATTTAAAGGCCTATTCTTTAGTTCACTGGAATGGCTAGGTACCTTGTTGATAATCATTTGACCCTAACTGTAGGAGTTTCTGGACTTTAAATTCTATTCCATTGATCTTTGTGTCTGTCCTTATGCTAGTGCCAAACTGTTTGGTCAATGTAGTTTTTTGAGTTTTTTTTTTGGGGGGGGGGGGGTTAACGTAGTTTTGTAGTAAGTTTTGAGAATGGCAAGTGCCAGGCCTCCAACTTTGTTCTTCCTTTCCCAGATCATTTTGGCTATTCTAGATCTGTTGCATTTCTGCATGCTGAAAGCATTTTAGTATCAATTTATCAATTTCTGCAAAAATGGCGGGGGGGTTGTGATAGGAATTGTATTGAATGCCAGATCAGTTTATCAGTATTAAGTCTTCTTTCTATAAATCTGGAATGCTTTTCATTTTTTAGGTCTTTAATTTCTTAATTTTTCACTTTTATTAAAATTTATTCCTAAATATTTTATTGTTTGGTACAATTGTAAATGGAATTATTTCCTTAATTTCATTATAAGATTGTTTATTGTAAATTTGTAAATATATAGTAATGCAAAAATAGAGGGTTATTTTGTTGTTGTTTTTAAATCTTGTAACCTGTGATGTTGTGAACTTTTTTTTTTTCCTGGTAGCTTTTTAAAAATTTATTAGGTGGTTATGGTTGTAACTCAGTGGTAGAGCACTTGCCTAGCATGTGTGAGGCACTGGGTTCAATCCTCAACACTACATTAAATAAATAAATAAATAAAGTTGCACAATAAACAAACAAATACATAAATAAATAAAGTTGTGAAAAATATTTATTAAAAAGGGTCCATGGTGTGGATGAACCACGTTTTATTTCTAATTTGTTACACATGACAGCAGAATGCATTTCAATTCATAGTACACATATGGAGCATAATTTTCCATTTCTTTGGTTGTACACGAAGTACAATCACACCATTCGTGTCTTTATAGATGTACCTAGGATAATGATGTCCATTTCATTCCACCATCTTTTCTACCCCCATTCCCCCCTCCCTTTTCCTTTCTCCCCTTTGCTCTATTCAAAGTTTCTCCATTCCTACCATGCTCTTTCCCTACCCCATTATGGATCAGCATCCATATATCAGAGAAAACATTTGGTCTTTGTTTTTTTTGGGATTGGCTTACTTCATTTAGCATGATACTCTTCAAATCCATTCACTTACCTGCAAATGCCATGATTTTATTCTCTTTTAATGCTGAGTAATGTTCCATTGTATATATATACCACATTTTCTTTATTCATCTACTGAAGGGCATCTATGTTGGTTCCGCAATTCAGCTATTGTGATTTGTGCTGCTATAAATATTGATGTGGCTATGCTGCTTTTAAGTCCTTTGGGTGTAATCTGAGGAGTGGGATAGCTGGGTCCAATGGTGGTTCCATTCCCAGTTTTCCAAGCAATCTCCATATAGCTTTCCAAATTGGTTGTACCAATTTGCAGTCCCACTGGCAATGTATGAGTATGTGTGCCTTCCCCCCGCCCCCACATCCTTGCCAGTACCTATTATATTGTTTGTATTCTTAATAACTGCCTTTCTGACTGGAATGAGATGAAATCTTAGAGTAGTTTTGATTCGCATTTCTCTAATTGCCAAAGATGTTGAACATTTTTTTCATATATTTGTGGATTACTTGTATATCTTCTTCTGAGAAGTGTATGTTCAGTTCATTGGCCCATTTATTGATTGGGTTATTTGTTTTTGTGGTGATAAGTTTTTTGAGTTCTTTATATATCCTGGAGATTAGTGCTGTATCTGATGTGTGTCTGGTAAGAATTTGCTCCCATTCTGTAGGCTCTCTCTTCACCTCACTGATTATTTCTTTTGCTAAGAAGAAACTTTTCAGTTTGAATCCATCCCATTTATTGATTCTTGGTTTTATTTCTCGCATTATAGGAGTCTTATTAAGGAAGTTGGGACCTAATCTGACATGATGAAGATTTGGGCGTACTTTTTCTTGTATTAAGCACAGGGTCTCTGGTCTAATTCCTAGGTCCTTGGTCCACTTGGAGCTGAGTTTGTTTCATGAGAGATAGGGGCTTAATTTCATTTTACTGCATATGGATTTCCAGTTTTCCCAGCACTATTTGTTGAAGAGGCTATCTTTTCTCCAATATATGTTTTTAGTGCATTTGTCTAGTATGAAAATAACTGTATTTATGTGAGTTTGTCTCTGTGTCCTCTTTTCTGTATCATTGGTCTACAAGTCTTTTTTGGTGTCAATACCATGCTGTTTTTGTTACTGTTACTCTGTAATATAGTTTAAGGTCTGGTATAGGGATGCCACCTGCTTCACTCTTCTTGCTAAGGAAGAGTTTAAAAAAAAAAAAAAAAAAATATATATATATATATATATATATATATATATATATATATATATATAAAAGGGTCCATGATGTAATTGAAACATGTTTTAAAAAAAATTCTTTGGGATTTTCTGTATCTGGATGGTGTCAACTGCAAATAAAGATAGCTTTCCTTTTTCCTTTTTAATTTATATGCTTTTTATTTATTTTTCATGCCTAATTTCTTTGGTTAGAACCTTCAGTAAAATGTTTAATAGAAGTAGTAAAAATAGACATCCTCATCCTCTTCCTGATTTGGGGTGAAAACATTAAGATTTTCATAATTATGATTGTTAACTGGATTTTTTGTTTTGTTTAGTTTTTGTTTGTTTTTGGTACTGGGCCTGCATGCTTTACCACTGAGCTGCATTCCCAGTCCTTTTTTATTTTGAGACAGGATCTTGCTAAGTTATTGTGGGATCTCACTAAACTGCTGAGGCAGGCCTTAAACCTGTGATCCTAGAGCTTCAATCTCCTGGAGTTGCTAAGATTACAGGAGTGCATCACTATACCCAGCTTTACTGTTTTTTTTTGGTAGATGTTCTTCATTTGGTTGAGGAAGTTTAGTAGGCTATTTTTTATACCTTACCTCGTATTTTTCTATGTGATTTATACAGTATATCTTTGAAATACAATTTTTAATGGCTATACATTATTCAGCCATTAAAATGTCACATGTGTAGTATAGAGAGATTAAGAGTTATACTCGTGGCAGGCGGGGTGGTACATATCTGTAATCCCAGCAGCTTGAGAGGCTGAGACAGAAGTATCATAAGTTCAAAGCCAATCTCAGCAACTTGGCAAGACCCTGTCTCAAAATAAACATAACAAGGATTAGGGATATGACTCGGTGGTTAAGCAGCTCTGGGTTCAATCAGTACCAAATCAACTTCTTTTGTGAAGCCATACTTTGCCGTTTACTATTGTGTGTAATGCTGAGAAAGATGTTGTTTATGAGCATGTTTTTAGTCATATAAACAAGAAGAGAATACTTGACTACTTTGCAAAAGAAGGGTGAGGAACAAATGAAATAGTATGTATCTTATAAAATGCTTAGCACAATCATACAGAAAGTACCTACTAGATGGTTAAATGTAATTATATTTTAACCATGTTTTATTGCTGGGAACATTTAGAGTGTTTATTTCTGCAGTTAAAGCCCTTACATTTGGGCTGAGGGTATAGAGCACTGATAGAGCAGTGATAGAGCACTTGCCTAGCAAGTATGAGGCCCTAAGTTTAATCCTACAAAAAATCCCTTCCAGTTAAGTTTTGGCTACTTTATTCCTTACACTGGAATAACTGGGTTAAATTTTTCCTTTTTTGAAAATATTACTTTGAGAATATACTCTTTTGTCCAAATGAATTTGTCATATTTGAACCATCAGGTTAGAATGGAAATTTTGTGGGAGATTATGTTGAAAAGTAAATTAGGGATAGATTTTGGAAAAACTCAAGATATCAATCTAACAATGTTAGGTTTTTTGTCTTTAGGCCTGTGAGAGTCCATTGAAGGTTGAGTAGGGAAATCATGAGTGATAGTTTAGGAAAATTAATCTACTATGCCTCTGAGGTCTTGACTGATCACCCCTGAATGCTTAGAACCCTTCAACAATTTATACATAGTACCTAATGTGTCCACTGTTGTAGTACTGGAGACTGTGTATACATGTTTGTTTCAGTGTTTCTCTTTTAAATTCTGAGAACATAGGTCACATATTGTGTTCTGAACCCAGGAGTGCTTAACCACTGTGCCACATTGCCAGCCCTTTTTAGTTTTTATTTTGCGACAGTGTCTCACTAATTTGCTGAGCCTGGCTTTGAACTTGAGATATTCTTGCCTCAGTCTCCCAAGTGATTTGAGATTATAGGTGTGCTGCCATTGCTTCCAGACACACATTGTATTCTTACTGCCTAACAAAGTATCTACTGCCTATGGCTTGTTGAATGAGTAAATCAATCTTTTGTTCTGGACTTTTCTGGAAACTAACTTGTTCCCTTTTGTGTTCCATGTTTCTTCCTGGACTCCAAGGAGGAGGCATCTCCCTATTCCTTACTTGATATCTGCTTGAGTTTCCTGACCACACACCTTGAGAAGTTCTGTTCAGCAAGACAAGATGGAACATTATGTCTGCAGGAACCTGGAGTATTTCCACAGGAGGTGGCTGATCGACTGCTTCAGACCATGGCATTTCATGGTAAAAAACAAAAACAAAAACAGAAAACAAAAATTATGTGCTAATAATTGGAATTGGATTTTGAAGTATTATTGTTGACATTAAATTATTTTCTTAGAAATAACACTCCAGATAAGCCCAGTTCTAGAAAAAGGAATTCATTTATTTTTACTTGTCTTGACTCTTAACTGTGTAATTTATTTAGTATTATTTTTTCGTTGTAGATGGACACAATACCTTTATTTTGTTTATTGTTTTTATATGGTGCTGAGGATTGAATCCAGTACCTCACACATGCGAGGCAAGCTCACTACCACTGAGCCACCTTAACTGGAATTTAGGAAAAGTATTTTTCTTTTCTAATTTTGGCAAGTAGCTTTTTTTGTTTTGGTTTGCTTTTCTTTGAGAAACCATTCTTAGGTCAGAAATAACTTCTCTAAGTCTACAATGTTCATTTATAAGTCTAAGGAATAAAATACCTTACACACACACACACACACACACACATACACACACGGTATATAAATATATATAAATTTTTAAAAAACTTATTTTTTACTTGTAGGTGGACACAATACCTTTGATTTATTTTTATGTGGTGCTGAGGATCAAACCCAGTGCTTCATGCATTATAGGCAAAGACTCTACCTTTGAGCCCTAACCTCAGCCTTATATAAATATTTTTTTATTGTAGATGGACCTTTATTTTATATATTTATATGTGGTGCTGAGCATGGAACCCAGGGCCTCACACATGCTAGCACTGTACCACTGAGCCACTGTACCCCAGCCCCAATACCTTATATCTGAATTTGACAGTGAGAGAGTCATACAGTATTATGAAAAAATGATTTCTGTTTCTGACTTTTAAAATGGAAGGTTGACCAGGCACAGTGGCATAGGCCTGTAATCCCAGTGAGTGAAGAAGCTGAAGCAGAAAGATCACAAATTAATGTCATTTAAAGAGACCCTGACTTAAAAAAAAAAGCCAAGGGCTGGGGCTGTAGCTCAATGGTAGAGCACTTGCATAGCACATGTGAGGCACTGGGTTCAATCCTCAGTACCACATAAAAATAAATAAATAAAAGATATTGTGCCCATCTACACAACAACAACAGAAGCCAATCCAAAAACCTAAAGGCCGAATGTTTTCTCTGATTAGTGGATTGTGATCTATGATGGGGGCGGGGCAGAGGCATGGGAAGAATGCAGGAACTTTGGATGGGGCAAAGGGGAGGGTAGGGTGGGGTTAGGAGGATAGGAACGATGATGGAATGAGATGGACATCATTACCCTAGCTACATGTATGATTGCCCAAATGGTGTGTCTCTACACTGTGAACAACCAGAGAATTGTAATGTTGTACTTCACTTGTGTACGATGAATTAAAATACATTCTGTTGTCATATACAATTAAATAGAAAAAATAAAAAATAAAAAAAAAATAGATTGGGGATATAGATGTAGCTCTGTAGTACCCACCTCCAAAAAAGTTCTGAATTATTTAACATCTTTGTAAAAATCATATCCATCTTGAATTGATTTATTGTGGATGCAATTGAGTATGCAAATAAAACTCCATCTTGCTAGTTCATGTCAGAACTTTAAAAATTTGTTTCATAAATTTTCTTGTGTTTGAAATTTTTCATAAAATAGAAAAAAACAATCATACTATGAAAACTGGTAATACCACTGGGCCTTGATGGCGCATTCCTGTAAATCCCTGCCACTTAGAAGGTTGAGACAGGAGGATCACAAGTTCATGGTCAGCTTGGGTAACCAGATTCTGTCTCAAAGTAAAATAAAATTTAGAAAAGGAGTGGAGATGTAGCTCAGTGACAGAGTGCTTGCCTAGCATGTGTGAGGTCCTGGGTTCAATTCCCAGTACTGAAACTACTACTTTTTTTTTTCTTTTCTTTCTTTTTTTTTTTTTTTAATTTTTGGAAATACCATGCATTTTCTAATAGCATTTTGATTTTAGAAAGTACTTAACATGTACTCTTAACATTTTTTAAAATTTATTTGCTGGGCACAGCGGCGCACACCTGTAATCCCAGCAACTCAGGAGATTTACAAGCAAGAGATTTACAAGATTGAGGCCAGCCTAAGCAATTTAGCAAAATCCTTTCTCAAAGTTAAAATAAAAAAGGTTGGGGATGTATCTCAGTGGTAGGGCATCTCTGAGTTTAATCCCCAGTAACAAAGAAAAGCAAAATAAAACAAAAAAATTATTTACCCATTTAATGGATTGATTATACTGATAGCAGTCTTCATTAAAATAATTATGATACTAAGGGATTTTATATATTAGGATCTATGATTCTGTTGTCATAGTCTTTACTCATTGTATCAGTACCCCTCTTCCCTCCCTCTGATCATCTTGCTCTGCTCTATTGGACTCTTTCTATTATTATTATTATTATTATTATTATTATTATTATTGTCATTATTATTAGTTTAATGAGTACATTATAAATATATGCATGTATATGTGTGTATAGATTTATTGTGGTATATTCATATGTGGACATAGCATACATGGATGTAGCACTTGGTAAATTTTGTTCATGCCCGCCCTTCTACCCTCCTTCTCAAATTTTTTTCGTATACTCTGTTGAACTCCTGAAGCATATTCATTTTTTTTTTTTTTAGTCATTGATGGACCTTTATTTTTGTTTATTTATTTGTTTATATGTGGTGCTGAGAATTGAACCCAGAGCCTCACATATACTAGGCAAGAGCTCTACCCCTGGGCTCTACCCCAACCCCTTGATTCTTTTTTTTTTTTTTTGAGTACTGGGGATTGAACCTAGGGACCCTCAACCACTGAGCCACATCCCCAGCCCTATCTTATATTTTATTTAGGGACCAGGTCTCACTGAATCGCTTAGCACCTTGCTATTGCTGAGGCTGGCTTTGAACCCACGATCCTCCTGTCTCAGACTCCTGAGCTGCTGGAATTACAGGTGTGTGCCACCACGTTCAGCATTGATTGTTAAATACATAAAATCTAATCTTGATTCTCTGACAGTAGCAAATTAAGAACTGCAAATCTGAAGGAGAAAGGCTGCCAATTAGTAACATAAGTGATTAGTATGACAGCAAAGTATCATTTAGCTATAATTTTTGGTCATAGGAAAAGCTAGATGAGTCTTTATTTTGCTGATGTTTGAAAGAAGGCAAAGATAGACTGGGTGAGATGGCACATGCCTATAATCCCAGTGATTTGGGAGGCTGAAGTAGGAGGATTGCAAGTTTGTGGGTTCAATCCCCTGCACCACCAAACAACAAAAACAGAAAAACCCACAAAGATATTTAGGAAAATTTCCTTCAAATATAATTAATGGCATTTATGTAGTGTTTTAAGTTTTAGAATTTTTTTTTATGTACACTGTATTATTTAATTTTCATAGCAATCCCTGTGAGGGAAATATAATTATTCATATTTTGTGAATAAGGAATTATTCAGTGTCAAATATCAAATAGATATTAGAACTAACTGATTTGAGGTTCAAACCCAGGCTACTTATTTATCTTGTCCAGCTGCTCATTTACCCCATCTCTTAGACTACCTTTTATTGTCATGACTGTTACTTATTTCACAGTAGATGCTGTTTAGTTTACGTGATGTTGTTGAGATATGGCTCCAAAGTATCTATTGATTGGTAGGCAGGTAAATCTCTAAGGGACCTCAAGAAATTTCTGTGTCTACTTGATTGGCATTCATCTGACAGTGAGGGTCTATAACTCCTAACCCCTCTTAATAAGGTTTCAGGTGTAGCTAGTGGTTTAATAATGAATTATAGACATTATATATGAGCTAAGTATATGGGTTTGTATAATAATATGTTGTACCAATTTAAAGGATAGGTTGGAAATGAAGTCCATTGAGGGTTTTGTTCCATGTCTCCTAGTATCCAAACTTTAACCCTTTAAATTTACACTCTTTATTTTTATTTTATTTGTTACTGGAGATTTAACCCACGGGTACTTTACCACTGAGCTACATCCCCAGCCCTTTTTATTTTGAGACAGGATCTCGCTAAGTTGTTTAGGGTCTTTCTAAATTGCTGAGGCTGGCCTTGAACTTGTGATCCTTTTGCCTCAGCCTCCCAAGTTGCTGGAATTATAGGCATGTACCACTGCACCCAGCAAATTTAGTTCTTTAGAACCTGAAGCCTTCTCATTGCCATAGCAGGAGAAGCTAGCATGAAAAACTATGCACTGGGTCTCAGGTGCTTCAGCTTACACACCATTGACCAGAATTAGCACAAGTTCCCTCCTAAGTCCACGGGAGGGCTGGTATGTATAGCTGTCTGTCTATGGGTCTAGAAAGGTGAGGAGAAACAGATGTTAATAGATATCAGTCATGTTTACCACAGTCTTGAATCTGCCACTTGCTACCTCCATGATTTTGGAAAGCCTCTTTCTTTTCTTTTCTTTTTTTTTTTTTTAATATTTATTTTTTTAGGTGTAGATGGACACAACACAATACCTTTATTTTTATGTGGTGTCGAGGATCGAACCTGGGTCCCACCCGTGCTAGGCGAGCGCTCTACTGCTGAGCCACAATCCCAGCCCCTGGAAAGCCTCTTTCTGAGGCCTATTTTACTCATTTGTAAATTGTAGACAATAATATTCTCATATGATTATAGACAAAAGTATCCTCACTGAATTGTATCAAATGAGATACAGTTGAATGGGGGAGCACATTGGAAATGTAAAGTATGATGGAAGTTTTAGCTCTTCTTAGCTGTTTTTCGAAGTTAAAATTCTGCTTGTTTTTCCGCAGGTCTATTGAACGATGGAACTGTGGGTATTTTTAGAGGCAACCAGATGCGTTTAAAGCGAGCTTGCATTCGCAAGGCAAAGATCTCTGCTGTTGCTTTCCGGAAAGCCTTCTGCCACCACAAGTTAGTGGAACTTGATGCCACAGGTGTGAATGCTGACATCACCATTACAGACATTATCAGTGGGCTTGGCAGTAACAAATGGATCCAGCAAAATCTTCAGTGCTTAGTGCTGAACTCATTAACTCTCTCCCTTGAGGATCCTTATGAGCGGTGCTTTAGCCGGCTTTCTGGCCTTCGAGCTCTAAGCATCACCAATGTTCTCTTTTACAATGAAGATCTGGCTGAAGTTGCCTCATTACCAAGATTAGAGAGCCTGGATATTTCTAACACCTCAATCACAGACATCACTGCCCTCCTGGCCTGCAAAGACCGACTCAAGTCTTTAACCATGCACCACTTAAAATGTTTAAAAATGACAACTACCCAGATACTGGATGTTGTTCGGGAACTAAAACATCTGAATCATCTTGATATCTCAGATGATAAACAGTTTACATCAGACATAGCTCTTCGCTTACTAGAACAAAAGGATATCCTACCCAATCTTGTCTCCCTGGATGTTTCTGGGAGAAAGCATGTGACAGATAAAGCTGTTGAAGCCTTTATACAACAACGGCCCAGCATGCAGTTTGTAGGTTTGCTGGCCACTGATGCTGGTTACTCTGAATTTCTCACAGGCGAAGGGCCTTTGAAGGTTAGACCTTAAAAATGTATTATTTTTGTCAAGCTGACCTGTGTCTTGGTGGTATAAGACTCTATTAAGATGACTGTCTGATATATGAAATACATTCATGAAATAGGGTATGTATAGTAAAGCTTACTTTAGAGTCAGAGTCCTAAGAAAAAGCCCAGCTTTCTTGCTTCATGATCCAGAGTGAGTTATAGCATAACCTCTCTGTTTCTATTTCCTTATTTGTAAAATAGATACTATTCCTACCTTGCAGTATTCTTCTGAAGATTAATAATTGTGATTGTGAGGCAGGTACAACTGCTCATACCTCTAATCCCAGCTACTTGGGATGCTAAGGCAGAAGGATTGCAAGTTCGAGGCTACCCTTGGCAATATAGTGAGATCCTGACTCATAATACAAAGTATAAAAAGCTGGAGATGAAGTTCAGTGGTAGAATATCCTGGGTTTAATCCCAAATTTTGGCCAAAAAAAAAGCCAAGTGCAAGTCATGTAGTAGGTCCTGGTTAAACATTAGGTCTTACAGTTATAATGTTTATATATTCTGAACCATATCAATATATCATTCCTAATGGATCACTTCAATGAAACTAAAAATACCCCTTATTAAATTGAATACCCAAAGGTAAATTAAGTTCTCTGAAGAAATCTCCATAGTAGAAGTGGGAATTTTGTTTGTTTTTTTTTTTTTTTTTTTGGTACTGGGAATTAAATTCAGGGGTGCTCTACCACTGAATTACATTGTAAGCCCTTTTCTATTTTTTTTAGAAAAATAGAGACAGGGTATTGCTAAATTGCCCAGGCTGGTCTCAAACTTGTGATCCTCCTGCCTTAGCTTCCTGAGTTGCTGGAATTACAGATTTGCAATACCATGCCTGGAAAATTTTTTCTTAAGGTTTCTAATGACTAATAGTTTAAATTTAACAAACATTAGTTGATCTTGGTACAGCTTGGGATTCAAAAATGAATAAAATACAGAATCTGCTTCTAAGGAATAGTGGTGTTATGGTCACAAATATGTTTATACATTTTATTCATTTATTTATTTATTTATTGGTACTAGGGTTGAACTCAGGTGGGTTTTACCACTAAGCTACATCCCCTGTCCTTTTTTCTTTTTTTTTTTAATTTTTAATTTTGAGACAGGGTCTAGCTAAATTGTTTAGGGCCTAAGTTGCCAACGCTGATCCTTGAACTGGAATCCTCCTGGCTTAGCCTCCCAAATCATTGGGATTATAGGTATGTGCCGCCTCACCCAACTATACATTTTTATTTATTTAAACTGTGTAAGTAATCTACATAATACCCAATACTGTGTATGGGAATGTTTAGCAGAGAGAATTGGTTTAATTTAAGGCTTTTCTGAAGAATAGAGATCCTAAGGGTGAGTAGCTTGACAGTATTCCAGGCAGAGGGAATAATGTATATAAAGGTGAGACCCTGGAATCAATATATTTTTTTTTTTTTAGAGAGAGAGATTGAGATTATTTATTTATTTTTTAGTTTTCGGCGGACACAACATCTTTGTTTGTATGTGGTGCTGAGGATCGAACCCGGGCCGCACGCATGCCAGGCGAGCGCGCTACCGCTTGAGCCACATCCCCAGCCCCTCAATATTTTTTTAAAGTTACTTAGGTAATGAACATTCAATCAAAGTCAAGAACCACTGTTTAAGGACTGAGGATGTAGTTCAGCAACAGAGCACTTGCTTACCATGTACAAGGCCTTTGGTTCAATCCCCAGTATCACACCCACACAAAAACACTTTTTATAGATATATTTATTTTTTATAAATCTATACATATTTATTTGTTTTTGTGGTATTGGGGATTGAACCCAAGGATACTCTAGCACTGGATTCAGTGCTGGACTATTGCAGCCTCCAGAGTTGCTGGGATTGTAGGTATGCACCACCACACCCAGGTTGATTGTTAGGTCTTATACCTATATTTCCTGGAAAAAATTTTTTAGCACCCAAACAGATATAGAGCTAAACATTGGGATTTGCAGATTTCCAATGATTCTCAGGAGTTATGAGCCATAGTTTAGTACTAAGTAATCCTGGAAATAATATAAAAGGGGTTTCGGGCATGTTGGTGCATGCCTGTAATCCCAGTGGTTTGGGAGGCTTAGATAGGAGTATCATGAGTTTAAAGCCAGCTTCAGCAACTCAGTGAGACCCTGTCCCTAAATAAAATACAAAATAAGGCTGGGGATGTGGCTCAGTGGTCAACAGTGCCCCAGAGTTCAATCCTTGGTACCGAAAACAAAACAAAACAAAACCAAGGGTGGTGGGGTGGGGATGTGCTCAGTGGTTAAGCACCCCTGGGTTCAATCCCTGGTACAAATAAATAAAAAAAATAGAAAAACACATAAAATCAAAGGGGGCTTGGGGGTTTAGCTCAGTGGCCGAGTGCTTGCGCAAGGCCCTGGGTTCAGTCCTTAGCCTTGGGGGAAAAAAAAGAAAAAACGAAGAGGCTAGGGGCATAGCTCTGTAGTAGAACTTCACTGTTCAATCACCAGTATTATGAAAGAAAGAAAGAAAGAAAAACAGATGTTGGGGGGATGTCTAGCTCTTCAATGCTAGTCTAGTGGAGAGGAGACAGACAAATTTAAAAATAGCTTTTTTTGCCAGGTGCAGTGGCAGATGTCTGAATTCCCAACTACTCAGGAGCCTGAGGCAGAAGGATGGCAAATTTGAGGCCAGCATCTTCAATTTAGCAAGACCCTATCTCAAAAATATAAAGGAAAAAGGGTTCGTGAAGTAGCTCACGGATAGAGCACTCCTGGGTTCAGTTCCCAGTTTAAAAATAAAAAGCTTCAATACAGTTATGTGGAGTACTATAAGAAAATTTGTTCTTTTGTCTCTGATGAGATGGTGAGTGCCTGTAGTCCCAACTATAGGCTATGGGTTTAGCATAGTGGTAGAATATGTGCCTAGTATGACGTTCTGGCTTCAATCCCCAGCACTGAAAAATAAAAATTGTTTTTAGTATGTAAGAAAATTTGTTATAAGTATGTTAAAACTTAGTTTTAATCCATATATTAGTAAGGCTTAATTTAGTGGCTAAGAATTGTTTCTCTATTTTTAAACAGTTTGAAAAAAACTAGTATACAAAGATACTTTTTTGTGGTAGTTCTTTTTTTTAATTATTATTTATTTGTTCTACTTCTACTTTTATTTGTACATGACAGCAGAATGCATTTCAATTCTCATACACAAATAGAGCACAATATTTCAATTCTCTGGTTATACACGGTGTAGAGGTGCACCATTCGTGCAATCATACATGTACCTAGGCTAATGATGTCCATCTCATTCCACCATCTTTCCTACTCTCATAACCTACCCTCCCCTTTGCCCAATCCAAAGTTCCTCCGTTCTTCCCATGACCCCCTAAGATAGTTTTTTTTTTTTTTTTTTTTGGGCACTGGATGTTGAACCCAGGGGTACTTAACCACTGAGTCATATCCCCAGCCATTTTTATTTTTCAAATTTTGAGATGGGGTCTCACTAAGTTGCTTAAGTCCTCACTAAGTTGCTGAGACTAGCCTTAAACTTGAAATCCTCTTGCCTTAGCCTCCTAAACTGCTGAGATTACAGGCAGGTGTCACCATGCACAGTGGTACTTATTTTTTGATCTAGCAAATGAAATTGATTGAAGATGATCATAGTTTTAAGACCCAGATTACACAATTTGAGGGTTTATTAGTAGCTAGAGGAGTGTTGATCACTAAATAAAACATGAAATTGTTTAAAGTTTTTAATATTCCAGTAATTAAAAGTTCTTTAGTTTTGTATTGAAATGTAATTTGAGGTTGTAATTAATATAGGAAATTTACAAAGTGGTTGAAACAACCAAATATGAGTAAATGAAGTTCAACTGAGATTATTGTTAAATATTTTACTTCTTGCAGTCTTTTTCATTTCACATTTCAGTGTGTTTCTGAACCTACAAGAAAAAGTTCAGGGTGCTTCAAAAAGAACTGAACAAACTGAAAAATTTTATCACTGCTTATTTATGTCAAAATCAATTTTTTTGTGTGTATTATGCATGAATAGAAACTCTAAAAGTCATTTTGTAGCTTGGCGTGGTGGTGCATACCTATAATTCCAGTGAAGCAGGAGGCTGAAGTAGGAGGATCACATGTTTGAGGCTAGCCTCAGCAATTTAGTGAGACTGAATCTCAAAATAAAAAATTAAAAGGACTAGTGGTAAAGCACCCCTAAGTTAAACCTCTAGTACTGAAAACAGACTAAGTAAGCAAATAAATAATAACAAAAGGATTGGGGGTATAGCTCAGTGGTAGAGTGCCCCTGGGTTCAATTTCCAAATGTGTTTAAAAAAAAAAAAAAAAGAGGAACTTCCATTGTTGTCTCTATAATATTAAAAACACTTAATGTGTACTCTTGTGTCACTTGGCATATGTCAGTATTACAGTCCATTTCATTTTAGACCTTTGTGGTATATCATTTCAATGGTTGAAATGTCACCTATGATACATTCTTTCATTTCTTCAAAGCTGCATTTTTCCAGTATGAATATCTCATATATGAAACTTAGTTATTGAGTTTAAGTATTTGATTATTTATGTTGTTATTATTTTTGGTGCTAATGAAAAAAATTGTTATTTTTTTCTGTAATATTGACAGCTATTGGAGCTCAATACCTAGAACTATTAATTCACTGGGGATTATGGTGATATTTTAGTCTTTTTTTTTTTCCACTTATAGTTGGATTACTTTTACAAGAGCCACTTCCTGTTATTTATATTTGGTAATCCAATGATACCTGAATCACAGTTTAAGATAAGTATGTTAACCTGTATAAATAAAAAATTCCTACATAGACTTAATTTTGAACAGACCTCTTAGAGAGCTTGAAAAATCTGGAAAATTAATAAATTTATTTGATGAATACCTATTGTGCTTATTTTGAGCTAAGCATAATGCTAGACATGGGGCACAGTGGTGAATGGGTCAGTCTAGTGGGAAGATTATAATAGCTATGAAAGAGATGACTTAGATCAGAAGGTCTCTAAAGAAGTGATTGAGGGGCTGGGGTTTGTGGTTTAGAGGTAAAGCGCTTGCCTAGCAAGCATGAGGCACTTGGTTCATGCATCCTCAGCACCACATTAAAAATAAGATAAAGGTATTGTGTCTACCTACAACTAAAAAATAAATATTAAAAAAAAAAGAAGTGATTGAGTTAGGAAGGATAAGTAGAAATTAGTCAAGCAAAGAGAGAACGGAAGGTTTCAGAGTTTATTATTATTTATAATGGTATTTTGTTGAGAAAGAGCTTAGCTTAATGAAAAATTAGAAAAAGGGTTGATGCTGCGGGCTGGAGTTGTGGCTCAGCGGTAGAGTGTTTGCCTAGCACAAGTGAGGCCCTGGGTTCGATCCTCAGCACCACATACAAATAAGTAAAGATATTGTGTCCAACAACAACTAAAAAATAAACGAATATTTAAAAAAAAAAAAAAGGGTTGATGCTGCATTGTGAGCAAGGGGGAAAAAGTTACATTAAAAGGCAGGTAAGTGGGCTGGGAGTATAGGCCCATGGTAGATTGCTTGCCTAGCATGCATGAGATGCATAGGGCCCTGGATTCAATCCCCAGCACCCGCTACCCCTGTAAAAGAGGCACCCGGTATGGTGGCACACATATGTTACAAATGTTACACCGGTAACATTTCATTCCTTAGTAATCCCAGCTACTGTGGAGGCTGAGGCAGGAGGATCACAGGTTCCAGGCCTTGGTAATTTTTTTTTTTTTTTTTTAGAGAGAGAGAGAGAGAGAGAATTTTTTAATATTTATTTTTTAGTTCTTGGCGGACACAACATCTTTGTTTGTATGTGGTGCTGAGGATCGAACCCGGGCCGCACGCATGCCAGGCGAGCGCGCTACCACTTGAGCCACATCCCCAACCCAGGCCTTGGTAATTTAACAAGACCCTGTGTCAAAAATAAATAAATAAAAATAAAAAAGTCTGAGGGATGTAGTTCAGTGGTAAAGTGCCTTTGGGTTTAATCTTCGGTATCACACAAAGAGGCAGATAAGAACCTCATGGCATGGTAAGGCCTTATAAATAGTGTTAAATATCTTGAAATTTATTTTAGGTACAATACAGAAAATTTTCCCTATCGGTTTATACTTGGTTCTGAGCCTATTTAATGTACATCTCTTTAGGATGACTATTCAGGATGGGTTAGAAAGTAATCATTCCCATTTGTTTCGTCTTACGTGACTATCCTGGATGTCATCTTTAGAGTGGTTGTTTAGATAGAGAAATGTAGAGGGTTGAAAAGAAGTCTGAAAGTTAATCTTTTGGTTGTGTTCAAAGGTGTCTGGAGAAGCCAATGAAACTCAGATTGCAGAAGCACTGAAGCGGTACAGCGAAAGGGCATTTTTTGTCCGAGAAGCTCTATTTCACCTTTTTAGCCTGACTCATGTGATGGAAAAAACAAAACCAGAAATTTTAAAGGTAAGAGTTATGAAAAATTTGAAACTATCTCCCTGGTAGATGAGGATTTTCTAAGAAAATTTGCATTTAGTCTTTAATTTTTATTTATAATGGAATTAATGATCTGTGATTTCAATTATTAGCTATAAATGAAAGCTGCCTAGTGTAATGGAAGTTTTATGAAGGTCTCATTAAGAAATGTAAATGCTTTCTAGTAATATTCAACTGCCTAAAACTAGAGATCACGCTGACATTTTATCACCAGCTCTAGTAAAAAATGAAAATAATCTGGGCACTGTGGTCCATGCCTGTAATCCCAGTGACTTGGGAGGCTGAGGCAGGAGGATCGCAGATTCAAAACCAGCCTCATCAACTTAGCAATACCCTGTCTCAAAATAAAAAATAAAAAGGGCTCTGTGGATATGGCTTAGTGGTTAAGTGTTCCTGGGTTTAATTCCTGATATCCCCCCGCCCCCCCCCCCAAAAAATGAAAGTATATGACTGGAATCAGTACACTGCATTGTATATCAGCCTTGTATTGCTTCCCACTTAAAGAATTTTTTTAGAAATGCAATATGAGAATTCCTTAATGCATTTTTTTTATGCCATTTTCCCATGCAACTTAGTAAGACCCTTTTTCAAAATGAAAAATCAAAAGGACTGGGGGTGTAGCTCAGTGGTAGAACTACCAATCTCTGGTACCAAAAAATCTGAAATGAAAATCACATTTGTGACTAGGCACGGTGGTAGAAGCCTGTAAACCCAGTGAGTTGGGAAACTGAGACAGAAGATAGCAAGTTTAAGGCCAGCTTGGGCAACTTAGCAAGACTCTATCTCAAAATAAAAAATGAAAAGGCTGTGGATATATTCAGTGCTAAAACACCCCTTGGTTCAATTCTCCAATACTATAAAAAAATTATATTTGTGAATCTCACAAAGAAATTTAAATTTGATAGGGATAGATGGGTACATGAATCTGCATTTTAATAAACCCTCAAGATGTTTTCTTTTTTCTTCAGTACTGGGGAGTTGACCCAGGGCAATCAATTTCTAAGCTACATCCCCAGCCTTTTTTTATTTGGAGATAGGTTCTCACTAAGTTGCCCATACTGGCCTCAAACTTGGGATTCTCCAGCTTCAAACCTCCAAGTACCTGGGAATACAGGTGTATGCCACCACACCTGAGAAGCCCACAAGATCTTTCTTTCTTTTTTCTTTTTTTTTTTTTTGTAGTTGGACAGCATGACTTTATTTTGTTTGCTTATTTTTATATGTGGTGTTAAGGATTGAACGCAGTGCCTCACATGTGCCAGGCAAGTGCTCTGCCACTAAGCCCCAGCCCCAGTACCCACCCATTAAGATATTTCTAATGCACATTGAATTCTGAAGAATAGTGAGTATAGGACTATATTATATTTAATAACTTCTTTTAGTGGGCACAACAATCTGAAGAAATAGATTTTATCATTTTGCAGATTGTGAAACTGAAGGTCTAGAAGGTTAAGTAATAATAAGTCAGTGGCAGAGCCAGAACTGAATTAAATTCCTAACTATCTTAAATTTTGAAAACGTGGTGCTTGGATAGGAACCGGTAACATTTCATTCCTTAGTATATTATCCCCAAGATTTGTCAGTCCCTCCATAGATACTAGAGGATATTGGTATATGCGTTGTATATGCATTGTCTTTTTTTTGACATACCCATTAATTAAAAAAAAAAAACTCATTCATTTATTCATGGAACGAGTAGAAATTTTAAAATATACGTGTTTTGTATAAGGAATTTTGCTCCAAAAGATAACAAAGAAAAAAAGTGATAATTGACTAAATAGAGTTTTGTTTGCTTTGTTTTCTTAAGAAGTGAAAAATAGTAGCTTGTTTGTATGGTCATATGAATGACCCAGCACAGAAAGAAAAAATTGATGTAGGTGTCAGAGATCAGATGAAGTGATATCTTTGAGTAGAAAAGAAGGGAATGATTTAGCTTATAAATGGAGGCATAAACTTTAAAGAGAAGCCTAAAAAGATCATTTATGGTAACAGTAAGAAGGTTGCATATGTATGTCTGTGTGCAGGTAAGAGGGTAACATTTAGTAGTGAAAATCTGAAGTTCTTGCCTGATTGCTTCAGTTTTCTTAGTATAGTTGAAAACAATGTCTTCCACTGATAACGAGGAATGGGGAGGACTTGGGGAGGTTAAGGAGAAAGGGAAAGGTGAGGAATAGATGTCTAGGCCAGGAGGAAATTAATGGATTTTATTGTATTACAACTTCAGCAGTGTTCTTCTCAAAGAGGGGAAAGTTGGGAATTGAAGGTACAATTTGTCACCATTCGAGTCAGTGAAAATTCATTCACTGCTTTCCATATAGTAGGTTTTAGGATTACAAATAGATCTTATTACATGTGTTGAAAAGATCTGCTGTACAGGAAAATCTCTAGATACAAAGAACTGGATATCTACCTTGACCAAGTGAGCAGGAACTGTTTATGAGTAACTACTAATGTCCTAGGCTCTTTGCACACGAGGATAAAAAACATAGTTAAGACATCTTTGAAATTAGTATAGATCAATGAATTAAATTTGGTGTGAAAAGGGCTTGCATTTATAAGATAAATTAAGAGAACTAATTATTTTTCAGCTTGTAGTTACTGGAATGAGAAATCACCCTATGAATTTGCCAGTGCAACTGGCTGCAAGCGCCTGTGTATTTAATTTAACCAAGCAGGATCTTGCTGCAGGAATGCCTGTTCGACTCCTGGCTGATGTAACCCATTTGCTGCTCAAAGCCATGGAACATTTTCCCAATCACCAGCAGGTAAGCTCCTGTGAATTCCCATACAAATAAGCCTTCTAGCTTCTCCTTTTACCCATCTCCTACCTCCATATAGTTCAATTTAACAAACCAAGGCTAGAAGCTCAAATACCTTTTGAAACAGTACAGTAATAAATTTGTGGTATGACTCGGTATAGGACAATAGAGAAGTGAACAAGTGAGGCATAAATTCCATCCTTAGAATCTATATATTGGGGAAAATAGTGCAGACCATACAAAACTCACCTTCATCTAGATCTTGAGTTTTAATAATTTCAGTAAATAGTCATGGAGGATTTATTTTGGACTAGGCACTGTCAAATACTGAGATGTAGAAATAAGTAGGAGAGCTGGGCATGGTGGTGCATGCCTGTAATCCCAGCAGGTTTGGGAGGCTGAGGCAGGAGGATTGCAAGTTCAAAGCAAGTCTCAGCAATTTAGCGAGGTGTAAGCAACTCGAGAAGATCGTGTCTCAAAAAAATATAAAAAAGGGCTGAGGATATGGCTCAGTAGTTAAGCACCTCTGGGTTCAACCCCCAGTACAAACAGAAACGAGTAGGACATATGTTTTCTTTTTCTAGTTGTATAGTAGACCAAATGACATGTCCTATTCTCAGGATAAATACTAAAAATGCTACTTGAATTATTTAGCTCTTTTGAAATTGAGCAGTAAGTGGCATATTAGTAAAACAGCAAAAACAAAACTCAGAGGCCCCAAAACAAGTAAAAATAACAGCCTTAAACTGGTCACTGAACTATTAAAGCCAGATTCACTCATTGAGAGCAGTTGCCAAACAAGAGGAAATTTAGGCTTTGGTTTTCATAGCCTCTAGAAAGCAAATGACAAAAGAAAGACCCCACACATAAATCTCTTACCACCCCACCAAAAGGATTTGCCCTTAGTAGAAGAAAGCTAAGAATAAACCTGTTTGTTTTAAACAAGATAATAAACTCAAAACAAAGTAGAAGGAAGGAAATTATAAAAAGAGAATAAAAATTGGGGCTGGGGATGTGGCTCAAGTGGTAGCGCGCTCGCCTGGTGTGCGTGCGGCCCGGGTTTGATCCTCAGCACCACATACAAACAAAGATGTTGTGTCTGCCAAAAAATAAAAAATAAAAATTAAAAAATTCTCTCTCTCTCTCTCTTTAAAAAAAAAAGAATAAAAATTAATGAAAAAAAACACATGTACCATTGGATTAGAGAGGGTTAACAAAGCCAAGAATTATATATTTGTACTTGTTAATAATAATAAATCATTGGCAAAATTGATCAAGAAAAAAATGAGAAGATTTAAATTAAAAAATTAGGATTCAGGTATGATCGTGCATACAGTAGTCTTGGGTATGTTGGGAGGCTGAGGCAGGACGATCAGAAGTTTGAGGTCCACACAGGCAATTTAGCAAGACCTTGTCTCAAAATAAAATGAAAAGGATTGGGGATGTAGTTCAGAGGTAAACATTCCTGGATTAAATCCCCAGTACAAAAAAAACCCCAAAACCAAAAAACCTCCCAGGTGCACTGGTTCATGCCTGTAGTCTCAGCAATTCATGGGAGGCTGAGGCAGAGGATCATAAATTTAAGGCTTGCCTGGGCAACTTGGTGAGACCCTGTCTCAAAGCACAAAATAAAAAGGGCTGGGGATGTGGCTCAGTGGTAAAGTGCCCCTGGGTTCAATCCCCAGTATTTAAATAAATAAATAGATAAGTTTTGTTTTGTTTTGTTTTTTAAAGTAAGGGACTGCTAAACACAGTGATTCCTCTCAGGGGAAATGAGAGTGAAACAAGGGGAGGAAACAGATTTTGTAAATGGTCCTATTGGTGATACATTTGTTTTCTTAAACTGAGTGGTAGGTACACAGATATTTGTTGTATTCTTATTCTTTAAAAAAAATTTTTTTTTAGTTGTTGAGGAACCTTTATTTTATTCATTTATTTATATGCGGTGCTGAGAATTGAACCCAATGCCTTACATATTCAAGGCAAGTGTTCTACCACTGCGCCACAACCCCATCCCTGTATTGTTACTCTTTATGCACCTGTTACTCAAAGTGCGTTCTGCCTATTGCCTTTAAGGTTTTTAGTAATACAGAATCTTGAGCTCTAAGCCACTGAATCATTCTGTAAAGATTTACAGTTGATTTGTATGCATGTAACATTTGAGAAGCACTGCTTTATACCCACATACATTTAGTAAGTATTTTTCTGTATTCAGTATTAAATAATAACATTTAAAATGATTTAATTTAGTGGAGTGTGGTGGTACATGCCTGAAGTCTCAGCTACTTGGGAGGTAGAGGCAGAAGGATTGCTGGAACTCAGGAATTCAAGGCCAGGGTGGACAAGATATCAAAACCTTGTCTCAAACAACAAATAAAACACCTGTAATTAAATGTCACAGAAACTTGAGGAAAATTAATAGTTCTACCAGCTAGATTGGTGTGTGGACAAAGATACATGACAAGACTTCAAAGAGATGGTGACATTGAAATCACTTTTTTTTTTTTTGGTACCAAGGATTGAACCCTTGACCCATATCCCTAGCACTTTTTTTTTTTTTGAGACAGGGTCTTGCTAAGTTGCTTAGAGTCTTGCTATGTTGCTGAGGCTGACTTTGAACTGATGATACTCCTGCCTCAACCTCCCAAATCTCTTGGATTACCAGCATGTGCCATTGTCCCTGGTGAAATCGTATCTTGAAAACTAGATAGGATTTCACATCTGAGTAAAACAGTGGAAACGTATGTGAATGTGCAGGCCATTCCAGGAAGGCCAAGTTGCTTGTGACCAGAGTGTAGGAAGAACAGTGTAGGGTGTAGCCAGATGACTAGATTGGGTAAATGCCCATATAGAAAATTCTTGAATACTTGAAATTTCAAACCATAGCCCCAGAAGCCCAAATTCTAGCTGAGTAGAACTTGAAGAATACAGCAAGTATCTTACCTCTCGTTTGCCTGTGGTGCTTTTCAGAGGTAGTAAGACATAGATCCACTGAAGCTTTTTCTTCTATTACCAGTTTAAGCCATTAGTTTAGTTAAACTTCATGTCTTTTTATTCAATTCAGAATTTGTGTCTCTGGGCCAAATTCTACAAATCCAAACACAGGAACACATAATGTAGCACAGTGCAGCAAGTACTGAGATAGAAGTAAGTATAGCATGAGCATTCCTAATATGAAAATCCAAAAATCTTTTGAAAACTAAAATTTTTGACACTAATGTGACACTCAAAAAGTTTTGGATTTTGGAGCATTATGGATTCTGGATTTTCAGATTAGGAGTGCTCAATTGTTAAATTTTAAGCAAATATTCCAAAATCTGAAAAGCTTTGAAATCTTAACCATTTTTTGGAACCAAGAATTTCAGATTTAGCTGTTCTACCTATAATGCTGAGGACACAGAAGAATCATTTAGGTCAATTTGAAAATTAAGAAGTCTTCCTCAAAGATGTAATATCTGCCTTGAGCTGAATTGTGAAAAAAAATTAGGAGTTTTCCAGGTAAAGGAGGAAGAGGTATGGGCTTTCCATGCAGAGGTAATTGGAATAGCATTATTGTCTCTCTTATTTCAGTGGATCCTGTACAAATTATTGTTTATTTGGGGAGAAAAATGAGAAGAAAGGTGACATAGGAGGCAAGGTACCTGCTACTCACTCATGTGCCAGATAATGATTCAGATTTCAGGGGAGGTAACTCAGGCCAAGTCTTTCCTATCACCTTGACTACTTGTAGTGAATATAGAATTTCCTGAGAAACTCTCTTAATTAATTATTCTTAGACCTGACTTATTCAGTGTCATTTATCTGAGATTAGTGCTATTTTGTCTTTTCTGTGAAATTCCTCCTATCTCGATACATCTTCTATGAAACAAGTAACATGTTGATTTTATATCTGTTTTGCTGTTTCTTGACTAGCTTTAAATAGCCCATTAATCTGAGTTTTGTTTTCTGTGATTGAGCTCTTTATATTGTCTTCTTTAGGTAAGAGGTCTCCCAACTGACTACAATGAAAAATTTCTAAAGTATTAAAAAGTCATTTTCCCAAATTAAAAATTAATTAGTGCATACAAAATAACAAAATTTTTAAACCCACACCTTAAAAGTTATTATTTTGCTTCACAGGAATAACCTGAATCACCCTTCTGTTATGATGGTGTACTTTTACTGGTTGGTGAATGATTCATATTTTCATTTACTCTTGTTTAATGGTACTAGTCTAAACTTAAGACAGAGCCAAGTATATCAGTCAGTCTTTCTTTAAAGGCCAAAGTGTAAAACACTAGCCCCATATATTCTAGGTTAGAGTTAGGGTGGCTTGAATTTCTTGATGCTATATCACCAGGCAGAATTTTCAGCCATCATTTTTTAAAAAAATTATTTATTTGTATTTGTAGATAGACAGAATGCCTTTATTTTATTTTATTTATTTATTTCTATGTGGTGCTGAGGATTGAACCCATTGCCTCATGCATGCTAAGCAAGCGCCCTGCCACTGAGCTACAGCGCCCCCCCCTCAGCCATCATTTTTTTTTTTTAAAGAGAGAGAGAGAATTTTTTAGTATTTATTTTTTAGTTTTCGGCAGACACAACATTTTTATTTTATTTTTACGTGGTGCTGAGGATTGAACCCAGCGCCCCGCGCATGCCAGGCGAGCGCACTACCGCTTGAGCCACATCCCCAGCCCCATCAGCCATCATTTTTGTCATATTTTCCATTTCAGAAAACAAAAAGACAAGGTTACTTGATGGACTACATGAAAGGAGGGAAATTAACTGATATTATGGTGTTTATATTCTATTTCTCCTATAATGGAAAAGACAAAAAAAAAGTGCTAATAAATTTACATGGGCCCAGTGAAAGTCCATATTTCAACAATAGACAGGCAAAGGAGCTGGGGATGTGGCTCAGTGGTAGTGCACTTGCCTTACTTGTGCACAGACCTGGTCTAGATTTCCAGCACCACAGAAACAAAACAAAATAAATAGATGGGCAGAATAAAGGTTGTAAGAAGTAACTAGTATTCCATCAGTTTTCTTCCTTTTCTAATAAAAGATAACAGAGCTGGCAGGCATGGTGTTCCAGCGGAAGCTGAGGCAGAGGGGTCCCAAGTTTGAGGCCTGCTTCAGCAATTCAGCAAGGCCCTGAAGAACTTGGTGAGACATTGCCTCAAAATAAACAAATAAATAAATAAGGCTGGGGAAGTAGCTCAGTGGTAAAGCACCCTTGGTTTAATCTAAGTATCCCATCCTGCCAAAAAAAAAAGCTAAGAGTTCTGCGCAGTGGCACACATTATTACATAATTGCACACATCTGTAATCCAGCTACTTGGAAGGCTGAGACAGGAGTATATCAAATTCAGGGCCATCCTGGGCAGTAAAGTAAGACCCTATATCAAAATTTAAGGACTGGAGTATAGCTTGGTGATAGAGCATTTGCCTAGCATGCATAAGATCCTGGTTTCCATCCCCAGGACTCCCTCCTAAAAAACTAAAAACCAAATAAGCAAATAAAGAGTGATGTTTTATTTAGGATGTTTTTTTCTTCCTTTGATTCTTTAGTTACAGAAGAATTGCCTCCTTTCACTTTGCAGTGACCGGATCCTTCAAGATGTTCCATTTAACAGGCAAGTGATAGCCATAAAAATTAAAATTTGGAATTTTAGAATTCTGTCTTGGGTCATTTCTTATTGGTTAGGATATCCTTGAGGTAAGATTAATTGAGTAGATGGAATTGTGGTTGACTCATTTAAAGAATGCTTAATCTTTCTCAGATTTAATGCTTTTGACATTAGCAAGAGCTTATTGGCCCTTATTTTATATTTTTAAAAAATATTTATTTTTTAGTTTTAGATCGACACAATTTATGTGGTGCTGAGGATCCAATCCCAGTGCATCATATCAGGCGAGCACTCTAACCACTGAGCCACAATCCCAGCCCCCTTTATTTTATATTTATAAAATAAATTATATTGGTTATAGTTTGCAAAGTATCCACATAATATTGTGTGCTATTAGTATTATTATCCCCATTTAAAAGTTGAAGAGCCCGGCTGGGCACAGTGGTGCATGCCTATAATCTTAGTGACTTGGGAAGCTGAGGCAGAAGTATCACAAGTTCCAGGCCAGCCTTAGCAACTTAGTAAGACCCTGTGTCAAAATGAAAAAAAATGTTTGGGCTGGAGATAAAGCTCAGTTGGTAGAATGCTTGCCTGGCATGCATAAAACCCTTGGTTCAATCCCCAGCACCACCCCCCCAAAAAAATAATTAAAAAATATTAAAAAGGACTGGAGATATAGCTCAGTGGTAGAATGCCACCCAGTACTGGGAATTGAGCCCAGTACTGAAAAAAAAAGAAAGATGAAGAAACTAAGTCTTAGGTTCAGTGCCTTGCCTGTGGTTTTGTGACTAATGATGACTGCAATGCTGGAAAGACTCAGGCCTTCTAGTTCTTTTCTCTGTAAAAAACCTCTTTATTATTATCATTATTCAGTATTAAATTATGGAAGAAACATTTTAAGCAGAGGCTAATGGAAGCAATGTAATCGGATTCCATTACATGTAAAAGGGTCTCTTGTTGTCTTAAGTTGTACTTTGGGAGTTTTAACAGTAATTTTTGGGGCTGGGATGTGGCTCAAGCGGTAGCGTGCTTGCCTGGCATTCGTGCGGCCCGGGTTCGATCCTCAGCACCACATACAAAGATGTTGTGTCCGCCGATAACTAAAAAATAAAAAAATAAAAAAAAACAGTAATTTTTTTTTTCCTTCATTTTACTATTTAAACATTCTTTTAACGATGGCATTTTGAAAAGGAAATTTATGACTTAATGAAGCACGTTTCTTGAGCGGCAATTTTATTGAGATTGATTTATTTATATTTTTTTAAATATTTATTTTTGTATTTGTAGTTGAACCCAATAACTATTTATTTATATGTGGTGCTGAGGATCGAACCCAGGACCTCGCACGTGTGAGGTGAGCGCTCTACCGCTGAGCCATAACCCCAACCCGAGATTTATTTATTTTTGATACTGGGAATTGAACTCCTGGGTGCTTACCCACTGAGCTACATCCCCAGCCCATTTTAAAAATTTTATTTAGAGACAGGATATAAGTTACTGAGAGCCTTATTAAGTTGCTGAGCCTGGCTTTGAACTTGTGATCCTCCTGCTTTGGCCTCCCAAGCCATTGATCTCCCAAGCCATCACAACCAGCCATGATTTACTTTTATTTGGATATAGAGTACACTGTTATCTGGTATGGCTAAGGGATGAGGCATTGCATCTATTATTGGAAATAAATATTTGTATAAAAATATAACTATGTCTCGGGGTAGATTGCCAATTTTATTTTGTGAACACCGAACCTCTATGCCTATGGTTGAAATGAAATCAAAGGTGGGAAAGACTTTCTCACTCTCCTAAAGAAGATTAAAATTTAGCCCAAGTACTGGCAAGTTTTCTTAAAGAACCAAATTTTAAATATTTTAGGCTGTGGGCTATGGGGTCTCTATTGAAAAAACTTAACTCATTGTAAAGAGCAGCCATAGACAATATGTAAACAAATGAGTGGGATCAGTTCCAACAAACTTTACAAAACAGGCAGCCTGGCCCACAGGTTATAGTTTGCCTCCCTCTGTTCTAGCCAATGCATCGTGCTAGAATTGAGCTTCTTTGTGGCCAGAGGCTGTGACTGATTCATCTTTTTGTCTCTAGAGTGTGTGTGTGTGTGTGTGTGTGTGTGTGTGTGTGTGTGTGTGTGTGTGTGTTTGGTTACCAGTGATTGAACCCAGGGGCAGGGGCACTCCACTGAGCCACATCCCCAACCCTATTTTGTATATTATTTAGAAACAGGCTTTTACTGAGTTGCTTAGTGCCTTGAAGTTACTGAGGCTGGCTTGGAACTTGAGATCCTCCTGCCTCAGCCTCCTGTACTGCTGGAATTACAGGCGTGTACCATCGCACCTGGCTCTGGTGTGTGTTTTTGTTTTTCTTTTTTAATATTTTTTTAGATGATGGTGGGCCTTTTATTTTATTCATTTATTTATATGCGGTGCTGAGAATTGAACCCAGTACCTCACAGATGGTAGGCACGTGCTGTACCACTGAGCCACAACCCCAGTCCTGTCTCTAGTGTTTATGTGAATATTTAATGGATGGGTGGATGAGTAACTAAATGAGTATAACAAGAGACAGAAGTTTTCATAGAAGAGATGTTGGAAAAATTCACTAGAACCCCAAGCAAGGAAAGAAAGGTGATATATGATTGGTGATCATTGAAACTAAGCTCATGCATACCTACAATACAAGCTACTCAGGAGGCTGAGGCAGGCCTGGGAAACTTAGTGGGATTCTTGCCTCAAAATAAAATAAAAGAGCTGGGAGGTAGCTCAGGTTGAGCACTTGCCTAGCATGTGCAAAGCCCTGGGTTTAATTCCTAGCACTGGAAAAAAAAAAAAAAACATCTTCATGTTAGTGATGGCACTTGATATAATAATAATGAATGCGTCACGCACCATTCCCAAATGTTTTTCATATGCTTAGTCAGTCCTTACAACAATCAGTAATATTGTTATTCTTATGTTCATTTTATAGATGAGGAGACAGGCACAGAAAGGCTTAATAACAAGTTCAAGGTAATGAAGATAATAACTAGAGTAGTATAGATTTAAATCTAGACTGGTGGGCTGGGCATGTGGCTCAGTGGTAAGAGTGTGGCCTAGTATGCAGGGGCCCTGGATTTGATCTCCAGCACTGCAAAAAATAAAATAAAAAAAACAAACAAAAATATAAATCCAGGCTGACTTCAGAGTCTCTACTTTTTATATCCATAATATATAAATAGTTTTAAAGATAAGGTATGATAGAGTTGTTTTATGTTGTAGAAATTGCATGAATAAAAGCACAAAAAGAGTAAATAATAATAATACTAGTAAAAATTAACCTTTATCAAGAACTTATTATGTCACAAGTTTTGTACTAAGTTTGTGAGCTTGTATGTGATATTATTATTATTTGCATATTTGCAGTGCTGAGAATCAAACCCTGGGCCTTGCTTATACTAAGCAAATGCTCTGTCACTGAACTATATCCCAGTCCATGTGATGTTTAATCCTCACAGCAACCTTATGGAATGTTTTTGTTGTTATTTTACAGATAAAAATATTGAAGTTCAGAGGAATTAAGGAATTTACCAGGGTCCCAAAATTACTAAGTGATAAAACTGGTATTCGAATCCGGGCTGACTCCAAAGTATATGATGCTCTTAATGATTTGACTGCATTGCTTTACATGATAAAATAATTCATTTTATTATTATCATTGAGTAACTGGAAGTCAAAACCTGGCTTCAAAATCTATACACTTAGCCGGGCATGGTAGTGCACAGCTGTAATCCTAGCAACTCTGAAGGCTGAGGCAGCAGAATCACAGTTCAAGGTCATCGTGGCCAATTTAGTGAGATTTTCTTTTTCTTTTTTTTTTTTTTTTTAATTGTTGGTTGTTCAAAACATTACATAGTTCTTGATATATCATATTTCACACTTTGATTCAAGTGGGTTATGAACTCCCATTTTTACCCCGTATACAGATTGCAGAATCACATCAGTTACACATCCATTGATTTACATATTGCCATACTAGTGTCTGTTGTATTCTGCTGCCTTTCCTATCCTCTACTATCCCCCCTCCCCTCCCCTCCCCTCTTCTCTCTCTACCCCCTCTACTGTCATTCATTTCTCCCCTTTGTATTATTTTTCCCTTTCCCCTCACTTCCTCTTGTATGTAATTTTGTATAACCCCGAGGGTCTCCTTCCATGTCCATGCAATTTCCCTTCTCTCTCCCTTTCCCTCCCACCTCTCATCCCTGTTTAATGTTAATCTTCTTCTCATGCTCTTCGTCCCTACTCTGTTCTTAGTTACTCTCCTTATATCAAAGAAGACATTTGGCATTTTTTTTTAGGGATTGGCTAGCTGAGATTTTCAAAATAAAAAGGGTTGAGGATGTCCCTCAGTGGTAGAGTACTTGCCTAGCATTCCTGAAACCCTGAGTTTAATCTTTAGTAGCAAAAAAAAAAAAAAAAAAAAGAAGAAGAAGCAAAGATTTGAAAGTGTGGATCCATCCTAGAATTCTATAATGCTATACAGTAGCAACATCATGCCTAAGTTCTGTGACAAGTTTACTGCTAACATGCAGACACAAACTGAAGGGAAAGCAATGGAAACAGAACCACCTTATAAATCTAAAACTGCTGGGTTGGAATATACTTGTAATCCTAGGGGCTCAGGAGGCCAAGGCAGGAGGATTGCAAGTTCAAAGCCAGCCTTAGAAATTTAATGAGGTCCTAAGCAACTTAGTGAGACTGTGTCTCTAAACAAAATATAAAAAGGGCTGGGGGTGTGGCCCTAGGTTCAATACCTAGTACCAAAAAAAGAATGCTGGGTTGGGCTGGGCTTGGCACAGTGGCACACACTTGTAATCCCAGTGACTTTGGAAGCTGACATAGGATGATTGCAAATTCAAGGCTAGCCTCAACCACTTAGTGAGACCTTGTCTCAAAGTAAAATATAGAAAGGGCTGGGGATATACCTCAGTGGTAAAGTGTCCCTGGGTTGGAGATGTAATAACACAGCTCAGTGATAAGGGCATTTGCCTAACATGCATGAAGCCCTAGATTGGATTCCCAGTTCCACACAGCTATACAAATAAAATAAAATATGCCTGCTCAGAGATGGCCTTGGGAATAAAAGGAGGTAACATTAAATGAGGGAAGTTGCAGAACATCAATCTCAATATAATCATTCAGCCAACATTTATGAAACACTTACTTATTTGTTAATCACTGTATTGGGTATCTGGCATAAAGGTATAAATAGGATATGGTTCCTTTCCTCAAGAACCTCACAAGCCATTGGGAGGACTCAGGTGAGTCTCTGGATGATTATGGATCTCCGATTGAGTTATAAATAAAACACTAAGGGTTTGAGAAGTCAACAATGACTTACTGGGCTGGGAATATAGCTTAGTTGGTAAAGGGCTTGCCTTGCATGCACAAAACCCTGGGTTCAATCCCTATTTCAAAATATATCCAGAATTCTACAATTTTTCTCTACTGACATTTCTACCACCCAGACTAGACTAAAAGTGATTTTCTTTTTGAATTATTGTACTAGCTTTTGAACTGCTCTCCTGCTTCTGTCTCTTGCCTTCTGATGCTCATTCTACACATAGCTAATAGAGTAATCCTATTAAAAAAACATCAGTGAATTGGGCCTGGTGCAATGGCACATGCCTATAATCCCAGTGACTTGGGAGCCTGAGATAGGAGGTTTTCAAGTTTGAGGCCAGCTCAGCAATTTAGTGAAATCTTATCTCAGAATCAAAAATAAAAATGACAGAGGATATAGCTCTTTGGGAAAGCATCCCTAGATTCAATCCACAGTACCAAAAAACAAAATAAACCATTAGTCAGTGCCTGTCATATCTGTACTCAGAAAGCTTCCATGTCTTTTTATCTCATTCAGAGAAAAAGCTAATTCTATTTTTTTTTTTTTTCCATACTGTGGATTAAGCACACATGCTAGGTGAGTGCTCCACCACTGAGCTACATCTCTAGACCTATTAACTTTTTATTTTGAGACAGGGTCTTGTGCTATGTTGCCTAAGCTTGCTTCAAACTTGTGATCCTCCTGCCTCTGCCTCCTGAGTAGCTGGGATTAAGGTATGCACTACTGCCTAGCAAGCTAATTTCTTTCTTTTTTTTTTTTTTTTTTAATTTTCTTTAGTTGTAGGTAGACACAGTACCTTTATTTCATTTATTTTTATGTGGTGCTGAAGATTGAACCCAGTGCCTCGTATGTGCTGGGTTTTAGCTCTACCACTGAGCTAAAACCCAGGTCAAGCTAATTCTTTACTAAAACTCTTTATCTGGTTCCCCTGTTACCCATCTCTGACTTCATCTCAGAGTCTTGCCCTGCTTTTCTCTGTTCTGGCCTCACTGGCTTCCATGCTATTTCTCAAAACCTCCAGGTGCATCACAATTCATGTCCATGTATTTCCTATCTCTCTACCCTGAATGCTTTTCCTTTTACATTAATGTGGCTTGCTCTTATACTTCTTCAAAAAGTTAAAAAGGCTTTACTTTACTTACTAAGTGTCCATAAATAAAATTTTACCATTTCATATCTTCTCTTTCCCTGCTTATTATTTTTTGTAGTATATGCCATACCATATATTTTATTTATTTACCTGATTTAATGTCTTTTTTCTTCTTCCCTAGATATAAAATCTATGAGAAGGATTTCTTTTTTTTTTTTTGCTTTGGTCACTCCTCTATCTCTACCACTAAGAATACTCTGGAACAAAGCAGATTTTCAGTAAATGTTTGTGAATTAATGAATGTTCCTATTTTTGCTATGTGCTATGAGGAGCCCAGAAAATGCTTAAATTAACACTGTGGTATAGGTAGGCATGGTAGCACACGCCTGTAATTACAGTGGCTCAGGAGGCTGAGCCAGGAGGATCTTGAGTTCAAAGCCAGCTCCAGCAATGGCAAGGCACTAAGCAACTCAGTGACACCTTGTCTCTAAATAAAATACACAACAGGGCTGGGTATGTGGCTCAGTGGTTGAGTGCGCCTGAGTTCAATCCCTGATACCAAAAATAAAATAAAATAAAATAAAAATAACAAAGTCCCTGTAGTATAGAAATATAAAATAGGTGATAATTCTAGAAGATGAAATGTAGTTTTGACCTTATTTTCCAAATTGTTAATTCTTTATAAAATGTCAGAATTAATAAGGCATCATCTAGAAAACATTAAGTGTAATTGTTTATTCTCTATCAGTTAAGAGGAATTTTCACTTTCTGATTTCACCTACTTCAGTTATAGCATCAATTCCCAGCTAGAGCTCTGAAACTAATTACGGGCCTCCAGAATTAACTCATGAAACCCTATATGTGTTTTCAGGTTTGAAGCAGCCAAGCTTGTCATGCAGTGGCTCTGCAACCACGAGGATCAAAATATGCAAAGGATGGCAGTTGCTATCATTTCCATCCTAGCTGCCAAGGTACCTCAACTCTTGCCGAATAATTTTCTATAGGAAGTTGTTTCCCATTACAGTTACCATCTGCCCCCATCCTCTGAGTCCTAGAAATATCATTAAGCCTCTTGGCCAGCCTACTTACTCAAGCTGCATTAAATATTCGAGAATTCCAAGTTGGTCAGATATTTTGGCTTTAGAGTCTATTAAAATAAATGGTAGTAAACTCACACTATTAGTTTTTGGACATTTACTTTGTCTTATGCTTGTTTCTAGCTTTCTACAGAACAAACTGCACAGCTTGGTGCTGAGCTCTTCATTGTCAGGGTAAGCTCATTATCTCCTCTCTGCAGTCTACTAGATGTTATTTATTTTTCTTATTTTCAGGCAGTGTTTTGTATCTCCTGACTGTATACACCTATATACCTGTACACACGTGTGTGTTTTTCTGGTATTAGGGTTTGAGCCCAGTGATGTTCTACTGCTGACAGAGTCTCACTAAGTTGTCTACGCTGGTCTGGAACTTGTGATCCTCCTTGTCTCAGCCTCCTGAGTAGTTAGGATTCTAAGTGAGCACCACCATGCCTAGCTTGGTACTGGGGACTGACTTCAGAGCTTTTACATGCTAGGCAAGTGCTGGTCTACTGAATTACACCCTCAGCTTCTATTTTTTTAAAACAATTTATTATTTCTTCTTCTTCTTTTTTTCTTGGGGGGGGGGGGTACCAGGGATTGAATTCAGGGGCACTCAACCACTGAGCCACATCCCCAGCCCTATTTTGTATTTTATTTAGAGACAGAGTCTCACTGAGTTGCTCTGTGCTTCACTTTTGCTGAGGGTCTGTTTGAACTCATGATCCTCCTGTGTCAGCCTCCCCAGATGCTGGGATATAGGCGTGCACCCCTGCACCTGGCTTTTTTATTACTTCTTCTTTTTTTTTTTTTTAAATATTTTTTAGTTGCGGATGGACCTGATGTCTTTATTTTTTATTTATTTATTTTATGGGTTGCTGAGGATTGAACCCAGGGACTCACGCATGCAAGGCAAGCACTACACCACTGAGCCACAACCCCAGCCCCTTTATTACTTCTTAATGGATGTATTCATTTATTTTCAAGAAGCAACTTCATGCCTTAACAGATGGAGAAAGCCCTGAGTAAGATGACCTAGATTCTAATTTGTAATCTTACTTGTGAATTTTAAGCAAATTACTTGAACCTTTGGGGCCTACATAAGCATTAAGATCCTGGGGCCTACATAGTAATAAGATCCTATCTAGCTGGGTTATGTGGCACATATCTGTAATTCCAGTGATTTGGGAAGCTGAGGCAAGAGGATCACAAGTTCAAAGCTAGCCCCTGCAACTTAGATACTGTCTCAAAATAAAACATGGGCTGGGAATATGGCTCAGTGAGTAAGCACCCTGGGTTTAATCCCTGGTACAAAAACAACAACAGCAACAAAGTCCTATCTAGCCCAGTGTGGTAGTGCATGCTTGTAATCCCAGTGACTCAGGAGGCTAAGGCACAAGGATTGCAAGTTTGAAGCCAGCCTCAGCATTTAGTGAATCCCTATCTCAAAATAAAAAATAAGATAGGGCTGGGGGCTGGGGTTGTGGCTCAGTAGTAGAGTGCTCGCCTAGAAGGTACAAGGCCCTTGGTTCAGTCCTCAGCTCCACATAAATGTAAAATAAAGATATTGTGTCCACCTAAAACCAAAAAGTAAATATTAAAAAAATAAATAAGTAAAAGAAAGGGCTGGGGTGTAGAATGGACCTAGATTCAATCCCCAGTACTGGAGGTTTAAGGAAAAAAAAAAAAAGTCCTGCACCTATAATCCCAGTAATGCAGGAGGATCACAAGTTCAAGGCCAGCCTGGGCACTTTAGAAAAACCCTGTCTCAAAATGTTTAAGAAAGGACTGGGCCTAGGTATGTTGGTGCACTCCTGTAATCTCAATAACTTTGGAGGCTGAGATAGGAGGATTGCAAATTCAAGGCCAACCTGAGCATCTTAGTGAGATCCTGTCTCAAAATAAAAAGGGGTAGGGATATAGCTCAGGTTTGGAGCACTTGCCTAAAATGTATGAGGCCCTGGGTTCAATCCCTAGCACCAAAAAAAAAAAAAAAAAACAAAACAAAAAAATCACAAATTATAATGACAATTCAATAATGAAAAATTAATTCTGTTTTACTTCTTTTAGCAACTTCTTCAAATAGTGAAGCAGAAAACCAACCAAAATTCAGTGGATACTACATTGAAGTTTACTTTGAGTGCACTTTGGAACCTCACAGATGAATCCCCAACCACTTGCAGACACTTTATTGAAAACCAAGGCTTAGAACTCTTCATGAGAGTTCTGGAGGTTAGAATGAGAACTTAGTCTACTGTTTTAACATTGATTTACTTATTTATGCATTTATTTGTTATCTTTGGTTCTTTGGGTAATTACAGGTTTCCCTTTCTTTGTTACAGTCTTTCCCAACTGAGTCATCCATTCAACAGAAAGTTCTAGGACTTTTGGTAAGATATAAACATTTCCTGTTAAATCCCAAGCTCTTTGTTTCCTTCTGGGGGAATACATTGAAAGCTGCTGCTGAACAGGTGATGGGAGCACACGCCAATAATCCCAGTACTCAGAAGGCTGAGGCCAGAGAATTGCAAATTCAAAGGCAAGTTGGGCAATTTAGCAAAACCTTATCTCAAAAAAAGGGGGGGCTGGGGCTGGATTGTGGCTCAGTAGTAGAGCTCATGCCTCGCCTATGTGAGGCGCTGGGTTTGAGTCTCAGCAAATAAATAAATAAAATAAAGATATTGTGTCTAACTAAAAAATACATATATATTTTAAAGGCGGGGGGCCTGAGATTTGGCTCAGTGGTAGAGCACCCCGAGTATAATCACTAATACGCCAAGAGAGAGAGGAATTGATATTTCTCATGTTTGTTCTTTCTCCCCTCCCCTCTCCTGTCCTTTCCTTCCCTCTCTCCTCTTCTCTTCTTCCCTTCCTTCTCCTTTCTTCTCTTCTCTCCTCTTCCCTCTTCTTCTCTCTTCTCTCTGTCTGGAGTACTTAATATTGAATTCAGGGATTTGAGCATGCTGGGTAAGCAAGCAATCTACCATTAAGCTACATCCCCAACCCTTTTTTAAATTTTATTTTGAGACAGGGGGTTACTTAGTTGTCCAGGCTAGCCTTGAACTTGCAGTCCTCCTGCATCACCCTCTGGGTGTTATGGCAAGATTGCAATAAATCACCAAGTCAATCTTAAAGCAGGAGATGGAACCATCTTTATTCACCAGCCCACTAGTTGACTACAAGTTAAAGAATGGTTACTAATATCTAGACAATCATTCTTTGACAGGGTACATTGTCCAAGAAAAATGGGAATCAAAAAGAGAACAATTTTACATTGCATAAGAATTGCCATTTTGTATTGCCAAACATGCTATCCTAAGCAACTGTTGATGGGTGTAGAGGCAGGGTGTTCCCATGGGAAAAGCATTTCTTACATGACAAGGAGTCTCAGGGTAAAATGGAGTTATGTTTGGTTATTTCCCATATATCCTGGCCCATAACATTGGCAAGATATTACCACAAAGTTAGCAATTTTTGCAGTACTTGGAATTGAGCCCAGTGCATTCTAAGCAAATATTCTACCAGTGAGCCACATCCCTTTCTTATATATTTTTTTTTCCTCATGCTTATGTTTTCATTTTATCTTGAGTAATATTTATAATAGCTCTTTTAAATCTTTGCCAGAAGTATTGTGTATCTCAAGTGGAGACCTTAATTCTGCCCTGGCAGGTTCTTGACACTGCAGAAAGGAATTTCAGTATGTGTCAAAGAGGCACAAGCAGAGGTTTATTTAGAAAAAGTAAGGAGATTTACCCAGAAAGCAAACAATAGAGCAGGATATGCACTCAAAGCACAGGGAGTGTGGGCACTCAAGAGTGAGATGCCAGCTGGCTATGGTAAAGCATGCCTGTAATCCCAGTGACGCAGGAGGCTGAGGCAGGAAGATTGCAAGATCAAGGACAAGTTTCAGCAGTTTAGTGAGGCCCTAAGCAACTTAGTCCCTGTCTCAAAATAAAAAATAAAATGGACTGGGGATGTGCTCTGTGGTAGAATACTGGGTTCAATCCCTGATATAAAACAAAACAAACAAAAAAAATGAGACACGCTTTTGGGGTCTTAGGGTTCTTCTTTTAAAGGAAACTTTGTTAAGTGTTGAGCATCAGTCTAATGAGCTCCATTCTTTTGATGAAGGAACAGAGTCGTTCTGGGTGATCTGGTTCTTTAGAATCTTTATGTTGAATTAATAGCACTTAGTCTGTACCCATGTAATAGCTTTTTAACATTCTCTCTCTGCTTCTTTTAATCTGTCTAAAAATACATTCTGTAAACTGACAAGGTATATAGGTTCTATTTAATTGAATTTACAGTACCCTAAGATTTATTGGACCTTTATTTAAAATTCAGGCCTGGAGGAAAACAGGTCTGGCAAGTGAAGGAGAGAGTGTTCGTGCAGGCTTTATTTGTTTATTTATTTATTTTTAATGTTTTTCTTTGTAGATGGATACAATACTTAAATTTTATTTATTTATTTTTATGTGGTGCTGAGGATTAAACCCAGTGCCTCATGTATGCTAAGGAAGTGCTCTACCCCTGAGCCACAACAATAGCCCCTCATGAGAGTTTTAGATTTAAAATTATAGTTTCTTTTTTCTTCCCAGTTTGTCTCCTTTCTAGCCATCCTTTCTTCTTCTATTCTAACTCAGCCCCATGGCATTTCACCCCATATCATATAATTAGTCAGCCAAAGATTTGAGGGTACATCTATACAACTCTGTCTCTGTATATAATCCCAGTAGCTATGTGTCTGACTATTGATACTCACTCTCTCTTTCCTTTCCAATACCCTGTTTTACAAAATTTTGCAGCTTGGCTACCCTGAACTACAACTTCTGCCTTCTCAACTCAACAACACAGCAAGGTTCTCTTTGGGTTCATTGTAATCTGGAAACTGCACCTTTTGAATACTTTTCCTCTCAGCAGTCACCTTCTGGCATTGTTTGTTGTTCAGTGTCTGAAGACAGTTCCCTTAACCACTTAGTATGTGCATTGCATTAATTTTTATATATTATTTTTTTTCCCAGAACAATATAGCTGAAGTTCAAGAATTGCATTCTGAATTAATGTGGAAAGATTTTATAGACCACATCAGTAGTCTCCTACACAGTGTTGAAGTGGAAGTCAGTTACTTTGCAGCTGGAATTATTGCACATTTAATATCAAGAGGAGAACAAGCTTGGACATTAAGCCGTAGCCAGAGGAATTCTCTTCTTGATGACCTGGTAGGGTCATTTTTCATTTTCTAGAAAAATTACATATTGGTTAAACTATCAGAGTCTTATAATATGATAATGTGATATTAATAATTACTATAATTCTTCCTGTATGTCTTATGTCTTCTAGCATTCAGCTATTTTGAAATGGCCAACTCCAGAGTGTGAAATGGTAGCATACAGGTAATTAACATGATAATTAGTAAATGGCCAGTGGGAGCGCCGAGGATATAGCTCAGTTATTAGATTGTTTGCTTAGCATGCCTGAGGCCCTTTGTTCCATCCCAAGCAACACACACACACACACAAAAAAAAAAAAAGATTAAAAAGCTAGTGACCAAAGCTAGTGACCAGCTGGGCATATTATAATCCCAGTAGCTCTGTAACCCAGTGGCCCAGGTGGCTGAGGGAGAAGGAACACAAGTTCAAAGCCAGTCTCAACTAAAGTGAGGCACTAAGCAACTCACTGAGACCCTATCTCTAAATAAAATACAAAATAGGGCTGGGGATATGGCTCAGTGGTCAAGTGCCCCTGAAATCAATCAGTCATTTTTCATACTTCAAGATTACCCCTATTAGATGTATAATTTTTCTCTATTAGTACTGGCTTTAAAAGAAGCAAAATTTTGCGTGGTGTGGTGGCACACCCGAGGAATCCCAGCTACTCAGGAGGCAGGGGCAGGAGGATCAGAAGCTCCAGGCTGTGAGATTCTGTTTTAAAATAAAATAGATGGTCTGGTTATATATCTCAGTGGTAGAGCACTCCTGGGTTTAGTCTCCAGTACAACCAAAAAAAAAAAAAAAAAAAAGTAGCAAAATATTTGACATTTTTCTGTCACCTATACATTAATCATTCTTTCTATATATATAAGTCCCAAGGATTTGTCTCTACTCTTTATTTTTTAGTTGTAGTTGGATACAATACCTTTATTTTATTTTATTTATTTATTTTTATGTGGTGCTGAGGATTGAACCCAGGCCCTCGCACGTGCTAGGCAAGTGCTCTACCGCTGAGCCACAACCCCAGCCCCTGTCTCTAATCTCGGAATTCAAAGATGACCAAGACATGGTGCTGCACACAAGAATCTTATACTCTAGTGAGGCAGATCAAATGTGAATTTTATATAATTCACCATTATGCTAGATGTGCATAGAATGTTATAAAATTAAAAATAAGAGTCCTTAACCTTATACTGGAAGATATTTAAAGGAAGTGAATTACTACTGAGTTTTGAAAGATACTTAAAGTTGGGCAAGAGATTTTTTGATGAGAAAGCAATGTGTGAATACACACAGATCTGAAACAACGTGATAGCATTGACAGAACTAGAAGTAATACCACATTTGTTCAGGAAAACTATAATAATTAAAGTGCATACTGAATTCCTAACTCTTTATGAAAATTTAGTGACTTGATAGCCAATTTACTAAATTACCCAAAGTATTCCTTGTTGCTGCTTTTTATTCTTTTCTCTCTTTCTTTTTTGAACCAAGGACTGAACCCAAGGGTGGTTAACCGCTGAGCCAATTCACACTTTTTATTTTTTATTTTGAGAGAGGGTCTTACTAGGTTGCTTACAGTCTCTCTAACTTGCTGATTTTGAATTTGCAATCCTCTGGCCTCAGCCTCCCAAGCCACTGGGATTAATGCTACCACACCCACGTCCTGATTGCTTCTTAATTTTTTTATGACTGATTTTTGTTGTCTGCTTCGTAAGTGCTAGTGATGCTAACATTTTTGACTTCCCCAATTTATGTTTTACCCATTTTTGTGAAGACCAGTAGAAATAAAAAAGCTAATTCTAGACCTTCAGAATATTCTCAATTAGTTATCGCCTAACTTATCCATTTCTTAATTTCTAAATCAACATCCTTTAATGTTCAAAATGTGTATTTTAAGACCAAAAAAAGTGTTTTTGAAAGATTTTTTCCCCTCTTTTGATTCTGTGTCCTAATCACCTTTCATGTTCTATACCAAGATATATCTAAATGCAGTCTTTTCTGAAATTAGTCTAAGACAAAGAAAAGATGTTCTAAAATTCATTTATATTAATTTAGAATTAACAAGGTGAAATTTCTAAAATGAAAGGTTTAGAAATTACCACTTAGAAAATAACACTACAAGCCGGGTGCGGTGGCCCATGCCTGTAATCCCAGCAGCCCAGGAAGCTGAGGCAGGAGGATCAAGAATCCAAAGCCAGCTTCAGTAAAAGCAAGGTACTAAGCAACTCGGTGAGAAAAATATGAAATAGAGTTGGGGAGGTGGCTCAGTGGTTGAGTACCCCTGAGTTCAATCCCTGGTACCAGAAAAAGAAAATAACGCTACATATAGAATGTAACTTTGATTCTTTTCTTTTGAAATTTTAGATCCTTTAATCCATTTTTCCCACTACTTGGCTGCTTCACAACACCAGGAGTCCAACTGTGGGCTGTTTGGGCCATGCAACATGTCTGCAGCAAGAATCGTATGTACCAAAAAGAGAATTACAGTTTTCCTTTTCAAGTGAAATTCTCCTTTCACAGAAACCCATTTCTCATTTGTGTATTGTAGTAGGTTGTAAGGACACTGACTTTTAAAGATATAATATAAGAGAATTTGAGGTTATAAACTAAAAGAATCTTTCAGAAGGAGCTTGGCAATACTGAATGATAGTGCTATAATGGAGATACTGTTCTGACCTCATGGAATTTAAAGATTAAGAACGATAGTGAAGGCTGGGGTTTTAGCTCAGTGGTAAAGCATTTGTGGCACACTGGGTTTGATCCTCAGCACCACATAGAAATAAATAAATAAAATATAGGCATTGTGTCCACTTACAACTAAAAAAATATTGAAAAAAAAAAAAAAAACAATGGGGCTGGGGATGTGGCTCAAGCGGTAGTGCGCTCACCTGGCATGCATGCGGCCCGGGTTCAATCTTCAGCACCACATACAAAGATGTTGTGTCCGCCAAAAACTAAAAAATAAATAAAAAATTAAAAAAAAAAAAAAGATTACAGATCAGTATAAAAACAAACAAACAAACCTATAGTGAGTCCCATTTGTTGAATAAAAGATCCTAAGTAGGGTCACTGCTATTTATCAAACATTTCAGTGCCTAATCTTTATTCACCCCAAATTTCATTATATAAGACATTATTTTTAGTACCCATTATCCCTAGAGAAACAGAGTATTTTTCTTTTCATTCATTCATTTATTTTTTTTCCACATTTTTGTTTGCATATTATAATTGTACATATTGATGGAATTTGTTGTTACATATTCATAATGCACATGCATAACAATATAATTTGGGCAGTATCACTCCCCAGCAGTTCCCCACTCCTTCCCTGTTCATTTATTTATTTTAAAACATGGAGTCTTTTTGTGTTGCCAGGCAGGCCTCAAACTCCTGAACTAAAAAAAATTCTCCTGCCTCAGCCTCTTAAATAGCTGAGATTATAAGCATGTGCTACTATGCCCAGCAAAATGGCAGCGTTAAACAGAATATGTGTGTGTTTGTGTATACTGTGTGTGTATACACACAAATATAAATATATTTTTATTTTTTATTTATTTTTAAATCTTTTTTTTTAGTTGTAGATGGACACAATATCTTTATTTATTTATGTTTATGTGGTGCTGAGGATCAAACCCAGTGCCTTGCATGTGTGAAGCAGGCACTCTACTGAGCTACACCCCAGCCCTATAAATATATTTTTCAAAAGAGTGTGTGTGTGTGTGTGTGTTTGTGTGTGTGTGTGATGTGAATGTGTGAATGTGGTGCTGGGATGGCTCATACATATTAGGTAAGCACCCTAACCCTAAGCTCCACTCCGAGCCTCAGATGCAACATTTAGGTCAGGTTTCATATCATTCTTTGTTTGTTTGTTACTAGGGATTGAACCCAGGGGCAGGCACTTAACCACAAAGCCACATCCCCTGCCCTTTTTATTTACAGACAGGGTCTCACTAAATTGATTAGGGCCTTGAGATTGACTTTGAATTTGTGGTCCTCCTGCCTCAGCCTCTGAGCAATATCACACCCAGCCATATTCTTATTTCTTGAAGGTTGTAATATAATTACCTCGAGGTGTGGTGGCAAACCTGTGTAATCCTAGCTACTTGGGAGGCTGAAGCAGGAGGATCACAAGTTTGAAGCCAGTCTCAGTAACTTAGTAAGACCTTGTCTCTAAAAAATCAAAAGGACTGGGATTTGGCTCAGTGGTAAAGTATGGGGGTGGGAGATCTACATGAGTTTGCATATGGAATGGCCCCAAAGGCTCATGTGTTCCCTAATGCAGCAGTCTTCAGAGATGGGGCTTTTGGGAGGTGACTAGGTCATGAGGGCTCTGACCTCATCAATGGATTAATAATTTGAATAGATTATTGGGAGGTAGTAGAAACTGTAAAAGATGGGATGTAATCACATACTGTCTGCTTCCTGGCTATCATGAGCTGAGCATCTTTTCTCTGCCAAGCATTTCCACCATGTCGTTATGCCTTACCGCAGGCCCAAGTAATAAAGCCAGCTGACCATGGACTGAAACCTCTAAAACTGTGAGCCAAAATAAAACTTAACTCTTTTAGTATTGTTTTTGTCAAGTATTTTAGTCTCAGCCACAAAAAGGTGACTCATACAATGAGCTTAAGAGCAGATAACACCAAAAGGAAAAATCAGTGAAATTGAAGATATAACAATAGAGATGGTCCAAACATAAAGTTGGAATACATAAAAGAAGTATTTTAGACCTCAGTGACCCTTGGTACAACATCAAGTGTCCTAAGTGTAATTTGAGTCTGACTAGTGGAAAGAGGGAGAACAGAAAAAGATTGGAAAAAGCGATAGTAGCAAATACTCCAAATTTGATTGAAACTAAAACCACATATTGAAGAAACTCAACAAAGGCCAAGTAGAGTAAATTGTAATAAAATTATAACAAAGCTCATTAGAATCAAATTACCGAGAATGGTAATGGAAAGAAAACATTAAAAGGAGTCAGTAAAAAGTCATGTTATATGCCATGCACAAAAGTATCTTGAAATGAGTGAATGAACATAATAACATCAAAATGGATGAGATGATGTGATAAAAGAGGGAAATTTGTAACATTAAAAGTCTATATATGGGAACGGAGATGTATAGTTCAATAGTAGAGAGCCTATCTAGCATGTATGAGGCCCTGGATTAGATCCCAAGCACTGAAACAATAACAAAAATACAAAATGTCTACGTAAGAAAAGAAGAAATGTTTCAAATCAGTGACTTCAACTTCTACCTCAAGAAGCCAAAGAAAAAGGGGGGTAGAGTGGGGATATAGCTCAGTTGGTAGAGTGCTTGCCTTGCATGTACAAGGCCCTGGGTTCAATCCCCAGAACCACAAAAAAGAAAAGAAAAAAAAAGCCAAAAAAATGAGTCAGGCCTATAATTCCAGTGGCTCAGGAGGCTGAGGCAGGAGAATAGGCCCTAAACAACTTAATGATACCCTGTCTCAAAATAAAAAAAGGGCTGAGGATGTGGTTCAGTGGTAAAACACTCCTGGGTTCAATCCTTGATGCCAAAAAATGGGGGGGAGGGGGAGAAATTTAAATTTAAAGACATCATAAACAGAGAAAGAAATAACAAGAATCAAAAAAGAGGGCTGAGGTTGTGGCTCTGCCATAGAGTGCACGTCTAGCATGTGTGAGGCCCTGGGTTTGATCCTTAGCACCACATAAAGATAAATAAATAAAATAATGGTATTGTGTTTAACTACAACTAAAAAATAAAAAAGGAAGAACAAATTTGTCTTATGTTATCAGACATATATTAACCTGTAGTAATCAAGATAGTGTCAGGCCAGGTGCTGGGGTGCATGCCTATAATCCCAGCAGCTTGGGAGGCTGAGGGAGGAGGATCTTGAATTCAAAGCCAGCCTTAGCAGTTTAACAAGGCCCTAAGCAAGTCAGCAAGACCCTGCTGATAAATAAAATACAAAAAAGGGCTGGTGATGTGGCTCAGGGATTGAGTACCCCTAGGTTCAATCCCTGGTACCCCCCCCCCCCGCCCCAAAGTGTTGAGGCATAAAAATAAATAAAAGTAGGACATGCCTGGTGGTGACTGGGGAGGCTGAGGCAGGAGGATGGCAAGTTTGAGGTCAACCTCAGCAATTTAACGAGGCCCTAAGCAACATAGTGAGATCTGGTCTCAAATAAAAACACCTGGGGGCCTGGGTTGTACTCAGTGGTAGAGCGATTGCCTTGCATGCGTGAGGTCCTGGGTTAGATCCTTAACACCACGTAAAAATAAACCAATAAATAAAAATAAATATTGTGGCCATCTGCAACTAAACAACAACAACAACAACAAAAAACCCCAAACACCTGGGGCAAAACATCCCTGGGCTCAATTCCCAGTAAAAAAATATAAAGAAGAAAGAAAAATAGATTAATGAATCAAAACAGAGAATACAGACATAGACATAGACATATAAAATTAATTAAATTTTTACATAGGTTCAAAGCAGTTTGGTGGAGAAAGGAGTCTTTGTAACAAATGGTGCTGGAACAACTGGATATAAATATGTAAAAAAAATTGAACTTTGATTTATACCTCTACTACATAAAGAATTAGCTCTAAATTGATCATAGAGCTAAAAATAAAACCAAAAAATAGCTTACCGGGTGTGGTGGCGCATGCCTGTAATCCCTGTGGCTTGGGAGGCTGAGGCAGGAGGATCACAAGTTCAAAGCCAGCCTCAGCAGCTTAGTGAGGCCCTAAGTGACTCAGGGAGACCCTGTCTCTAAATAAAAATGCTAAAAAGGGCTGGTGATGTGGCTCAGTGGTTAAGTGCCCCTGTATTCACTCCCTAGTACAAAAAAAAAAAAAAAAAATTAAAGCACTAGAATAAAGCATGGTGGTACATGCCTATAATACCAGTAATTTGGGAAGCTGAGGCAGAAGGATCAAAAGTTTCAAGGCCCGGGCTGGGGATGTTGCTCAAGTGGTAGCACGCTTGCTTAGCATGTGTGAGGCACTGGGTTCAATTCTTAGCACCACATAAAAATAAAATAAAGACATTGTGTCCACCTAAAACTAAAAAATAAATATTAAAAAAAAAAGTTCCAAGGCCCATCTTGGCTACCTAGTAAGACCTTGTCTCCAAATAAAATAAAAAGGACTAATGATGTAGCTTGGAGGTAGAATGCTCCATCCTTAGTACCACAAAAAGTAAAAGTTAGTTACTATGGGTCTGGATCCCGCCATTATTTGAATGTTTATAGGCTTACTTTCCTAGATCAGGAGCCCTAGCTTTCTGTGCTACACAGGTGCTGAAAAAACCATAATGTCGTGATGGGGCAAAATTGCGACATATGCAGTAGAGGGGAGAAATAGAGAATGTCTACGAGCTTCTGCCCCTTTCGATGCTTTATTCCCTCAAGTTACTCAATACAATTTCACTCTGGATTCTTAATCAAGAAAACAAAAATTCTTAATGCTGGGC